CCCGCGCCCACGACCCGTGCCGCTCTTAGGCTCAGCTTCAGCCTTTTTCCCTCGCCCACGACCCTGAGCTTTCGCCTTGGCCTGTGCCTTCGCCTCTGCTTTCGCCTCCTTTTCTTTTTGCTTAGCTGCAGCCGCAGCAGCCTGCTCCTCTCGAGCACGCTTGCGGCCCGACCGCTGCTCCTGCATGACATTTCTGACATCGTCAGACATGTCGACATCTGCCGGCTGCAGCCGATCACCGCTCAACAGCGGCTCGGCATCCTGCATACTTGAAGCATGTTCGTTTCAGCTATCCGCCATGTCTTGAGCTAGAACTCAACTGCTGCCCAATCCACATCTCCTTGAAAGCACACTGCCGTTTGCGGTCGACAGTTGTCTTCGGTGCTGAATCGGTGTCACCAGGATCCTCCAGCAAAAATTGAACCCCAAACTCCAGATCGAGAATCAAATAGTTATGTGTACTCCAATGATAATAATCCAGTCTGCTATCCCATAGCCACAATGACACGCACACACACACACACACACCGAAACGACATCTCCTTGGAAGAATTCGGGTTCGCGAAGCTCTTCGGCGATGGCTGGGTTGCGGGAATGTCAGCCTCCGGCACTTATAATTATTATTGTGAGGCTCTGCAGCGCAGGGTTTATGGTAAACTCTGGTGAAGCATGTATCGTCGTGCACCACGGAGTGGACTGCTTCAACATGTACACTGACTCCGTCTGACATCATCAACCAAACCCCGGATCAAACGATGCGAATATATCCCCCGAATGTTGCAACCACACCTCCTCGGCAGACTTCGATGTCTCGGCTCTCTTCGGTGATGGTGGGGTCGCGGGAATTCCATCCTCCTGCACAGAGGCTTGCTAATTATTGTGTTTTTATTTTGTATGAATTATTGTATCTTGCTCTTTTACTTTAGGTTAGCTTTAATTTTTAAGTTGTTGTATACCTCAATGCAAACTGCTCGTTCATTTCCTTCACCTGATTTTTATGATCGAACAGACCCAGTATCCGGTTTGACACGGAAATATTTTTACAAAGGCTGCGATCGTCTCTACTATAGAACCCAACCCGAAACTCCGCGGAAACAGCCTGCGGCTTCGTAGCCACGGCTCTCTTTGGTGATGGCGGTCGTGTCGTATCATCGTCCTGTGTTCAACATGAAGTTCTGTTCGGTTCCGACAGAGACACACAGATACCGAGAGATACGTGTTGTCGGTCTTCATGTGTAATACAAGTATAGTATAATTATCGAACCAATAAGTTCTAGACAAGACCTGCCTCTGTGAGATCCACCGGCGCAAATATCGGATCATCCAATCCGATTGCACCCTGTCCGAAACTGCCGGCATGAGTGCTGATGCTAGACTCGACGAGACTGAAAAAGCTGAAGGTCGACCCCACTCCTCATGAACCGCCGTTGCACCATGATCGCGACCATGATCCTGCTCGAAAAGACAGCTTGGGATTTGTTACTCAAGAAATTTGTTGTGGCAAACATGATGACTGTGTGATGATGATGCTAGACTCGACGAAACTGAAAGCTGAAGGTCGACCCCGCTCCTCATCAACCGCCGTTGCACCATTATCGCAACCATGATCCTGCTCGAAAAGACAGCTTTGGATTTGTTACTCAAGAAATTTGTTGTGGCAAACATGATGACTGTGTGATGACTGTCCTCCTCATCATGGTAATCGCCCCCGTCTGAACCGTCACAATCATATTCACCAGCATCAGAACCACTGTCATCCTTGGGATAGAAATAGAATTGGGAACATCCCAGCATGATGCACATGTACGGTGTATGTGTGTGTGTGTGTGCTCATAACAATTAAACACTTAAGCTTGTAATCAGGTCTCGTGTACATCTGACCTCGATGGGCTAGACTAGTTTTGACTGTTGGGGCTTGTGGCTCTACTTTAACAAAACAGGCTTTCGTTTTAGGTTTGTACCTGAGTGATTTTGAGAGTAGCGTTGGGGGTGTCATGTACAATTCCAATACCTGATACGGGCCCAGAGTTTTTTTGCCACTGTTTCGGCTTGCGGTGTTTGCATAAAACAGGCTTTGGGATTGATTTATAAATGTTAGCCATGATTCAGCGGCGGGCAGCTTCAGCCGAGCACGGATCATATTTTTCAAGACTTGCATCTCGGGCGTCCTCGGATTATCCACCACACGTAAAATTTGTATGACAGTACAGACTTCGGACTTCTCAGACTAGAACATGTGATCGACTAGACACCTCGCATTGGGGCTTCGTCGCGCGTGCCGGATCGCTAAAGCACACAGACCCCGCAGCCTGCCGGCTTCACTCCCTGCCCAGTCATCAGCTGACCGTCGGGACTTAAACAAGTTGTGGTTCTCCTCCAACTTTCTGAAGGCTGCCTGTGTGGGTGTAAAACATGACGGAATGTTCAGAAACACCACAAGAGCAGCAACCAAGCCTTGAAGACAGAGTGGGCAGGCAGGTTCACAGTGTGGTTAAGGACATGCATGAGAACCCGCACGTTTTCCACGATCTCAGGGACAAGAGATGAATAGATCTTTTCATATAATAACAAATAGTAGCAGTGCGTTCAACAACCTGCCTCCTTCTCCCACCCAACGCCAAGCCCGTGGGAGCTATCCAATGATATGATACGGCATCCGGGCTTCTTTCGCACCTCCAACCAATTCACATCAGAGAAAGCCTCCTCAAGGACCTTGACAAGCTCTGCGGCTGTCTCCTTGTCGGCCATTGTTTTAAAAAATTGAACAACTGCAAGCAAAATGCTGCCAGGCCGGGCAACTGGGTTGCTCAATCATTGCAACATGTACGGCAGGACCGACTGCACCGGCAGACAGCATGCACATGCTGATTCGAAGTGCGCACACAGACACACACACACACACACATCCATCAAATGCAGAGGGGGGGGGTACCTTCAGATCTTGCCGTCTTGGCATTCTCAAGCCGGGCTTCTTGTAAAGCGCGCTTCATGACAATGCTGGTAGCACAGCAATCATGACCATGGCCAAAAAACTCCGAATTCTGAATTATGGCCGGTGCCCTCAAATATTATCACCTTCATGAAAAATATCGAAGCTTGCTGATCTAGCATAGCATCACTTGAACATACTGCCTAGTAGCTACAGATCCAATTTCCACTGAATTCCGAATCTCAAATTTAAACTGCTGGACACATGTGTCAAACTGTATACACGCAATTTGGACTGCACTGAACATGTCCGTCCGAGCCACCGCCTGCCAAGCAAACATTGTGCGCATCATGCATGCTTTTAACTGCGTGCCGAGGCTGTTCCAGGTGTACTTCATACGTTCGTACACGTAGCCCACATGTACAGCGTGAATATTGTGCTTATATAGCATGGTGTCTGTGTTTTCACATCTCGCTTCGGGCCAGAATTCACCGTATCTGGTCTCAATTGAACCAAAATATTATGTGTCTTTTTTGCTGTCTTATCCTGATCCATGTCTGAAGTGGTGTTTTCCTTCCCTACTCCCGAATTCCACACGGTGTTTACCGATGCAAGATGCTAGCAGAAGAGCATCACATGCTTATCTGCTGATTCGTTGTAGCTCAAGGACAAAAGGCCTTAGAATCACGGTCTTCCATAGCACGGCACCTAACTTCTTCCAAGGCCTTGAAAACAAGGCCTTGCCCCAAAACATGTCCTAAGTATGGCATCGATCACAAAGGCCCAAGTATTTGAGGCCTTGGGACCCTTAGGGTAGTAGCTGAGCCCGAAATTGCTCGGCTTCGGCTTTGTAGACTCCCATTGCGAAACCATCACATGGGTGCCCTGGTGGATGAAAGCCAATCTCCTGCTGCGTTCAGCGTCAGCATGCGCCTCAAGTTGTGGAATATGCATGCGCGCCTCTGTATATGGATGACGTCCATAACTTGCCGATGCCGTGCTTCTGCTTGGAGCTCAGCTTCGTGTTCAGGCGACCACTTGTTAATGAACAAATTGACTTGCTGCTTTCCTGTAGAAGCTGAGTGAGATAGTACTGAGCGTTGTTGTTGCTGCCATCGTTCCCGCTACCAAAGTTGTCTGTGGTGTTTGTTGTGCCAGGATGCGGCAACAACGCAATTGAGCTACCTACGGCTGATAACTTGAAGTTTCAGGGTTTACAGCCAACAACACAGGTGCTGCCGCTAAGTCAACCCCGTCGGTCCTTTTTACCGTGGAGACTTGAGCCCAGATAAGGTCGTGTAGGAGAACTGCTGAGGACAGCAAAAGTAATACTGGATTTTACCCCATCCACAACTTAAGCCAAAAGCCAAGATGCCAAGGCCGGAAGTCAAGAACCAAAAAGCCGGCAAGCCAAAACACATTTTCACAAAAGAGCGAACACATACAAAATCAAGGCCTCCTCAAGTCCTCAATCTATATGTCTGTCTATCTAACTATCTGTCTATCCATCTACTTGAGTACCTGTCTATTCTATCCAGATATGTATCTTTAGCCCACATCCTGAATTTCAAGGCTGATCTGCCAACAGACTACCACAAGTTGTTAAATGTGGAGAGTGTTTTTGGCGCCCCCCTCCCCCTCCCCTCCTCCAGTTATTCTTTGTTTTTTGTTTCACCCCCCCCCACCCCCGCCCCGACCCCAGTCCTTCGTCGTGACTGCAACACCTCAAACACGAGGGGTGGTAGGAACCATCACCAGAACCGCTCTATTCTCTGTCCTCCGATCCAGGTCTTTTCGGGTTGTTGAAAGATCCGAACCAATAGGCCAACAGGTATAGTGAAGGAGAAACGGAGCTACCTTGGAGAGTAGAGAAGACTGATGATTTGGTTTCGGCGTTATGCAGAAAGCTGGGTTTGGAGCCGTGATCCACCGAAGCCCACGACCCGAAAACGCCTACGCCTGTATCCTGCACCTCCCCACAGCCTCCCAGCCTCCTCTTCTGCATTCTAAAAGAAAGTAGTTACATCCTAAACCCAAGACGCTGACCTGTGCATCTTTCAAGAAAAGCAGCGAGTCCCGCCAACCCGATGGGCCGAGCGCAGTGAATATCCGTTCGGAGCACCTGTGCCGATCTGGGGTTGAAGGGTTTGGGGGAGCAGGTTTCAGGGTATGGGGTGGAGCCGATATCTATAAGTAGAAAACGGATGTACTGCTTATGGATTGTAGACCTTAAACCCGGTACCGCTTGTAAACTTGAACTCGAAACACGTAGGCATTGCGGCTCATATCGATTTACCAGGTTTACGTAGACACTCAAGTGTTTTAACTTTGTGAAGTTGCTTTATTTCCTTACTGCAAATTCCTGAACATAACAGTAGTTATTACAACCATAACCACCTAAGCGTCGACATTCGAGGGTCTAACTGAACCATGCTAAAACCCGGTCAAGATTACCCTGTATCAGGCTTTTAATAACGGTTCATGGTTGATGGTTGCAGGCCTCTGATGTCCTTGTGTCAATTGAGAGAGCGTACTTTGATTTTAAGCGTGGCTCATTCGCGGCATCCAGCTTCTTGGCCGAAAGCCCTGCCACACAGTGTGGATTTCGATGTGTGATTCCCCAACCTAAATGCGCAACGGCATGCCTTTGGGGACAGATGCTGTGCTAGTAAAGCGCATGCAAGCCTCATGTAACATGTTTACATAGCCCTTACAGGGAATGCAGGGGCAGGGCCCAACTAAACCGTAGTCCGCAATAGAAGCCCTAGGCCCTGGGTCTTTTGACCGTCCTCTCGACACTCCGCCGGAGTCCCCAAATCTCAAAAAGTCTTAGGCTGGGCCTAATACCCCAAACAGGGAACGAATTATGTCAGGGATCGCCTTACGATCTACACCAAAATCATGACAAACTCGCATTACGGCAAAGATCTCTGTCACCCCAGCTCAGGGTTGACTCCGAGGCACAAAAACTTCTTTGTCGTTGCGGTGCAGTGCAGTGCCTCGGTCTAGGGTTTGGGGTCCAAGTTGCAGGTGTTAAGGTTGAGGGCTACGGCACATGGCGTCAAATGACGAAACTTCTGAATCACGAAACCGACTCACTTTCTCAAGTTTAAACCCCGATGCAGCCGAAGCTACAACACAGGTTAGTTACATCAGTTACATCTCTTCAAGCCTCAAGTGGTCGCTTCGCGGTACGTTTTAACACCTACCATCGGAGGTCTTCGGTGGCCGCAGCGTCTGTGGCCGCCTGCTGTTTCGATTCCTTTGCCCAGGTGCCCAGGATGTCACACAAACAGACAGACAGATAGACAGACAAACACATGAACTGAAAAATTCCGAAGTGTTCGAAGTATGCACAAACAGAGCTCAATCCTAGAGTCAGCACAACGATCTATGAAGTCCTCTTTGTCCAGCAGCTTGAGCCACACACGAAGTGTGGATGTCGAAGTAAGCTGAAGAAGGCAGGCTGTACTGGGAAGTGTGCCAGAAGTAGTTGTATCTTAACATGAACAAACGCACCAACAAACTACACCTGCGGGACATGGCGTAAAACTTTCAACGGGGCAGTACCTGGGGTGTGGTGGGCTGCGTACATGTAAGAATACATCTAAATATATATATATATATATATATATATATTCAAATATGTATACGAACATACACAAACAATATTTATGTATATGTAAATGTATGTGTTTGTATGTATGTATACATGCATGTATGCATGTGTGTATGTATGTATATGTATATGTATATGTATACGTATATGTATATGTATATGTATATGTATACGTATATGTATACGTATATGTATACGTATGTATGTATATGTATGTATATGTATGTATATGTATGTATATGTATGTATGCATGTATGCATGTATGTTTATGTGGATGTATGTGTATGTATGTGCGTGTATGTATGTATGTATGTATGTATGTATGTATGTATGTATGTATGTATGTGTATGCATGTATGTATGCATGTATGTATGTATGTATGTATGTATGTATGTATGTATGTATAGTAACAACTATATACGTACACTAAACGATAGAAACTTCACAAACTGTCATGTGCAGCCAAGCTGCAGTCCTCGGCAACACAAGGATCACAGTGAAGACTCGACACGTTCAAGAAGCTTGAAAAGTATTTCGCTTTGCTGCTAGAGTTTCTAGTTTTAGTTCCTTTGTTGATTACTCCAAAAACAGCACTGACATGGGAGTGACTCGTGATGTAAAACCTAGAACAGGGCCGAGGCGCTGCCGTTCCGAGAAAGCGGTGCACTCTCTTCGGCCAAATCCCGTGATAGTGCAGAGACATCCTCAGCATGAGCAGCGCCTTCGACCACAGACCCTAAACCCCCGAAACAAAAAATCATTTCATTTCACAACAACTGCCGAGGGCCCGTTGTGGTTCGGCACCCTCAACTTGTCAACACCAGCCCCTGACAATCACCATAACCGCGTAACCTCAGCCTTTCATGCGCGTACATGCGGATATGTCTGGGGTGCTTTTCCTGCAGAGCTCACGCGATTTCAGGGTTCGGTAGATGTCTTTGCACTACTGTTTTGCGGCAGACCTACCTCCAAGAATCTCCATGTCTCATGACCAGCCGATTGCTGAATTCTACCAGCCTGCAAGGCTGACAAGGCACCAAGCCAGCTCCGAAAATGCTTCCCAATCTTAACCTTAAAGTCTCTGAAGCTCTACCATCCATCCTTCGCATGTCGAGTCAAGCTATTATTCAAGTAACCACCGGAAAATGCATTGTCACCACAATGTGCCACGCTGCAGATGAGTGTTTGCCTTCAGCCAGTAGCAAAACACACAAGAAGACGTCCCCTTCATGCGAACCAAGGCCAACCTTTTCAACTTCAAGGTGTCGAGCGACGTAGAATTGCCCACGTGGGGACTGACACCTCAAAGATACGGTCATTCTCTTCAAGCGTCCTTTCGGGCCCCTTCAGGACACGAAGAAAGCCTAGAAGCTGAACCAAGCTCGAAATCGGCGTGGTCGAAACCCAAATTACGTGCTTACAAGCACATACAAGAACCAGTCTCAATCCAAATGCCGCTTGAAGACTTGGATCCCCAAAGTACCAGGAACCACGAGGTCTGGTTTGGTTTTAAACATCATCCAAGGTCTTTCCCCAGTGCTATTACTGCTCAAGGTTCCGCAGCATGCGCTCCGCATTGATAGCATGTTCCTGAGCTGTAGTTTAGAGGCCCCCACACCATTTCACCAAAAGGGGAAATCAAGCTTATGCTAAATTGCCGACCAGGTTCGGCATTCAACAGTTGTGAGCTATTCGTGACTGCAAAATCGCGCTGGATGGCCGGAAGTATGTTCCCGTCCTGGGAAGTGGATACTGCACCCAGGGGCGAAACAATAATAAAGCCACTGGAAACACCATGGTCGCTGTGGTCATGATGGTGTTAATGATCATAGTATTTTGCTGCGACTACTACTACTACTACTACTACTACTACTACCACTACTTCTGCCTACTGTTGCTACCACTGCTACCGCTACTGCTGCCGATGCTGCTACTCTTGCTGCTGAAGCTGCTGCTACTACTACTACTACTACTACTACTACTACTCCTGCTGCTGCTGCTGCTGCTACTGCTGCTGCTACTGCTACTGCTACAACCACTACTACCACTACTACTACTACTACTACTACTACTACTACTACTACTAGGTATACGGTTGGCAGGTGACGCCAGTGTTTTCTTGGTCTGAGTGTGTTATTTTTCGAGTTTTGAGCTGTTTTTA